AACTAAAAGGATGAAATACCTTGGAATTACTGTAAAAAAATTATTGAATTATGCTAAGAGAATAAATGAATTAGGCATACTTTGTCGACTGGATGCTTGACTGGTCTGTCGGCGCTTCGTCCTAGCACTATGAAGAATTTCGCAATGAGCGATTGGCTGGAGGTGGCGATGTTGCGGCTGCTGAGGTTGTTGAGAGACGGTCAAGTAACTAGCCAAACCCATTGGAATATGGGTTCGCCCAATAGACGAATCTAAGGCAACTGTTGAAATATTGGCATCATCAAAATTGTTCAAGAACCCTACGTTTCCTTGCTGCTGCTGAAGCTCATGAGAATCAACTAGAGATACATTATTAGGATCCTGATCTAATTGATTTGCAATCATAAAAGAACTATTTAAATTTCGACTATGCTGCAACCTATTTGCTTCCTGGATCCCAACAGGTTGCTCATGCTGTTGATGCATAATTTCATTTTGCAAAAAACATGAAGCATAATCCATAATATGGAGATCCGAGACACTGGCAACAGGGGTAGCGTTCCCAAGAGCAATAGGAACGGAACTCATTTGATTAAGAGTCAAAGAAGGATCCACTCCGCATAGTAGCTCATCAAAAAGAGTATCGCTTCGAGGCTGGTGTTGGAAATTAGTTACAACCTGCTGTTGCAATTCTTGGTGACTTTGTATAAGCATATTTTGAGGCTGACTACCAACCATAGAAATGACACTATCTAATGCATCGGAATGGGATGGCACTTGCAAGGAATCAGCAGAGGTAACGGCAGATAGAGGGTCAAAAATATCATCATGAGTTGTAACAGAGAGATCTTGTGATTGCTCCTGCATACCATGCTGGGAAAATAAAGGATCGGGGAACATTTTATCTACATTTACAGATGATGGATTAGAAAATGCGTTGTCAACTGAAATGGAAGTGACGACGTTAGAAGCAATATCTGAACTTGAGTGAAGCCGCTTAGACTTGTGCTCTTTTGGGGGTTTTTCTTTATTTTTCTTTTTCTTATTCTTTTTAGCCTCCAAATTTTCAGCTCCAGGTAACTCGTTGGTCTCGTTTGGAAGTGTAAACTCCTCTGAACCAGAAGGACGTTTAAATGAGATTTTAAGAGAAATCTTATTATCTGTTGAATCAACTCGAACAAAGCCGTACGATGGAGGAGGCGTTGTTTCTCCACAACGTTCATGGGGAGTACCAAGACACGGACCAGGAGTAGTAGCATTTGATTCGCCACCTGTCTCACTGGCATCGTCATCATCTTTATGCTTACGTTTCTTTTTCTTTTTCTTTTTCTT